GTACGTGTGGGCAAATCGAAGAGCACACCTGAGTTAGCTTTCTTTCGCAGACATGCTTTAGCTCCAAATAAAAATTTTTACTTTTGATTCAACTGCCTCGATGCCATTATATCACAGTGGAAAATGGAAAGAAGTATCTGTTACGTCAGTTTACCACGTAGGTGACCTGTGGCTCCTAGATGAATTTTTTACATCATGGTAACAAGTCGTAAACGGTGTTGGCTTACTCATGAGTAGTAAAACGATTGCCGGGGAATACGTATGGTGCAGTTCCTGCACATATACACAACTAGCTCCGAAAAGTCCCGACTACCGCGCTCAGATGCCCACCCGAAACCGTACCCCCAGTAAAGTCGAAAGCTCTCTTCACCGGTTAGCAATTCTCCGAAAATATTGTCTAACTTAATCACATCTTGTTGTGTAACTTGATACCATGACAGCGTGATGCGTTATATCCACTCCTATACCTGGTCACAGTAAATGAGACAGACGACAGTCCGGAATATTGAATTTGCATTTCGGAAGATCTATCTCTCACTGCGATAACCGAAAAGCAGTGTCAGCCATTGTAGATGAACTGGTTGAAATAAACTGCTAAAATTGCCTGACACTTAGGGCTATAATCAGCAGTTATTTTAGGAAGAGATCCAACTCTGTTTCCCACGAGACGAGAAATAGATTGTATTCGTAAATTTAGTTGAGAACCGTGACTCGGGGACTTCACACAATTTGGAAGAATGAGTCCAACGCATTCAGACTTTCTTACACCACAACATGAAAAAACGCCTCCCAAATTTCATGCCACAGCCGTGACCGGCAGTACTGGTTCGCTAGTGGCCAGTTTCAATACCGGGGATAAATATGCGATTGCTTTAATTCGCATCAAGACTTGAAGTTATCACTTATCTGACCAAGCCTCTTGTGATGAAGGTTCAGAGAGCATATGAGCAGCATTTCATTTTCGAAGACCACTGTAACAAGTAAGCTTGGCACGATTTCAAAATATATTAAAAATTCTGTCTGTGACAGAAATAGCGGGTCCAAATCAGCTATGGTCTGTGCTACCAATCCGGCTATTTGTGAACGAATAGAGGCGAAGATCGATTTATTTGTCTTATGTCAGCCGCGTCTTGCTTGTATTTATATTTCAGGGAAGACTGTGGCCTCCAATTGGTGAGGCGGAGATACCTGCCTGAACGAATATATCGATAGTCACGGAACTGAACGCTTTTGGAAAATTAGAGCCTTTGTACCTCTTTAAATAAGATGCGAACAACAGAAAGTATTGCACTTCTTTTTTTATATACATGTACTGTACAAATGTAAGAAAAGCTATCTTCATATCTGAGGGAAGTAAGATAAATCTTTCGTTGTCTGAAACAGATGAACCAATAGCATTAGCTGATATTAACGCAAGATAAATTACCTGATCGAGAATGGCTGTGATGGCATCCGTGTAAGTCTTTATTTTGACTTTGGTTTCCGAGATCATTTTCTCCTTTCTCGCGATCTCAACCCGGAGGGTTTCCATTTCCTAAAGAACGCATTCGGTAGAGCTTGTGTTCGTATAGCCTACCTCCATTGCAACAAGTTCGGAACATTGTGCGGCCAGAACGAAGCGCTTCCGAATGAACCATGAATCTAGAGCTCGACACGAATCCAACAAACATGTCATGTGGCGTTCATTCAATCCATAACAGTTTTCTGATCCGTCAGAATCCGCGGAAGCATTTGTAGACGCCAGGATAGAGAACAGATTCTGCACGATTAGTTAGAAGAAAGTCACATACGTCCAGTTGGGTTTGGAATTCATTCCAGACTTTCATATCTTCATCAGGTTCCTCAAAGTGAGTATCAACCTCCATTAATGGAGCTTCAAAAAAAAGGGAAATAGAAATTACCGCCTAGGCTTCATCTATTCGAATTCGATAGCATATTCTGCACATAAGTGTACACCTGCAAACCGGAAGCCACTGGTGCTTTAATCCAAGTACAGATGATGCAGTCTCGCCACCCAGCCAACCTATGAAATCACTAATTCGACTGATTCTATGATTTGATGCAAATAACAAACACTGAGTCGCTGGTAATTGACCACAATCCGCGGAGAAATACAAGCCCTTCCTTTCTCCGTCTCATTCGCTCCCTCAAGCGTGAATCTTCGAAGCTCTCGACCTATTGAAACCAAGTGTAAAGTGTTTCCTAATACGATAAGCGAGCACAAAGGAGGAAAGGATACAAATTCTAAATCGACCAGTCTAAACCCACAGTTAAGAAATAGGTAGTGGTAATAGCTCACAAAAATTAGGCATGTTTCAGTTTCAGTTTAAACAGCCATTAAGCATGCGTTTCCGTGCGTCGGTTTTGGTTGTTGTCTTCTGGCTGCCCACTTGGGCGAACAATAGGAGGAAAACACGAAGGCTGAAAGTAGGATCGAGGACAACATGGAGAAGTTCAGTAGTCGAAGGTTGCAAAGAAATAGAGAAGATGCGTGAACGCCACTGTTTGCGACACCCAGCCATATCACTCAGTGTAGCTAACCATCGGTTACGACCATCCCGAGGTCCCCAGCCAGGGAGCCTAACGGGGCCTATGTGACCTAGTCTCCTGGTTAGGGTGCCAGGTCTTACCTTGACCACCCTTGGTTTTTTTCCACTCGGTATCTGCTTCGGCGAACATCGCTCGCCGTAGTAACCTATCTGATGACATGCGTAACACATTCCCCAACCAACGTACTATATGAAGATCGACCATTTGCTACATTGGGCGACTGCGACTACCTAAAACTTTTCACTGTCCTCAGAATTGCTCGGCCCGCTGCCCCATCAGATTCGTGCAACGCTGTGTAGACAGCGGTGTTCAAACACCGACAGTCTATTTTTATCCTGATCCCGTAATGGCCAGATTTCCGCTCCATATAGCTGAACTGACCGAACTGCCGCAGCATACACTCGACCCTTCACAGATAGCCGGATATCGCGACGGCGCCACAAATGTCTCAAGTTGGCAAAGGCCAACCGAGCCTTTTACATTCGAGCTGACACTTCAACCGTGATGCGTCCGCCGGGTGAGAT